CCTCTCCGCTCCCTGAGCCCCGGCGGACCCGGGTACGGCCCGTCCGCGGAGCCCAAGCTGACCACGGCGCCTCCCACGCCGGCCCCGCAAACTCAGCCCCGGGAAGCCCCAGCCTGGGCGCCCGGAGCGCGCCAGGGGCGCCGCAGTGCACTGTGGGAGTGGTAGTTCCCCGGGGAGCTCCGCACCGCGCGGCCCCGCGTCCGAGACTCCCGCTCCCAGAAGCCCCCGCGCAGGCGCCTCGCCCAGTCCTGCCACCTCACCTGTTCTCTGGACGTGACTGTTTCCACCGAGTCGTCCTGCAGCCGCTCCCGCGCGTGTTCCGGCCTCAGACTGTACAGCGATTCTGGCCAGACAGGGGAGGAAGATGGAGGGCAAAAGTAGGTGAAGGAACTCGGAGAAGTCATGATCAGAAGAGCAGCGGGCGGGATATGGGACTCAGCTTCGTCCAGCAACAGCGCGCATTGAAACTCGAGCGGGCTAAGGCGCTACGGAAACTGGGTAGAGTCAAAAAGAATGTAAACGCGAATCTCTCCTCCCACCTACACTTCTTGGAGTGAGTTACTGGTTTGTTGCCGCCCCCAGTTGGGCAGACGAGCTGCTGCAAGAGCTCAGCTTCCTGAAACGCAAGGAAGGATGGCTTGCACCTGAATTTCATTTCTGAGACGTCGGCGCAGGATGTCTTGGTTCGTTATGCAAATTAAACACACGCGAACCAATAGTCTGCTAATTCTCACTTAACAGTAATGCAGTAGTTTGTAGTTTCAAATGCTCAAGAACGAAATAAATGTATCTTTAGAAACATTTACAACAGCTCTCTTGATACCTCAGTCATGCTCTTACTAACAGAATTATTGTAAACCTTTGGGTCCTTGACAGCCTCCCAGGGAAGCCAGAAGCTTCTCAGCAAAGGAGCATGTAATGCTTGATACGTTGTGTCAACTTGAGGTTAGAAGTTAACTAAAAGACTTAGCCGGGAGCCGGGTCCTCACTTTGTGAACATCCTCAGCCTGCGCAAGAGGAGGGCACGGAGATGGTGTGAGTGCTACACCCACCCTGGGGGGGAGTGGCCTGCTTACCATGTTAGGGAGGAAAAGAGGCTTGACCCCACTTTTGCTTACTGCTTTGCTGTCTTCTGCCGTCTTGAACTGTTGCCCTCTGCCATGTGCCACCATGCCTTGGAGCCAGCTGATTATGGCCTCAAACCTCCACATACTGTGAGCTAAAGAAACCTTTCCTTCCTTAATTCTGGGTTTCAGGTATTTTGTCTCAGCAACAAAAGTAACCAAGACAGAGTGGAATTGCTGTCTTACTACTCAGTGATGGAGAGAAAGGGTATTGAAATTTTCTCCTATCCCCCCTTTGGGGGGTTACAGTGCAATAGCAGAAACTAAAATGTGGTAGAAGAAACAAGCATTAAATGAAAAAGACAAAGAAATAGTCACTTGGTCAGTCAACAAATGCTTATGGAGCACCTCCTACATAACACCATTGTGCTAGGCCCTGAGAATGCAAAAATGAACAAAGCAAGCAAGGCTGAGCCCTTGGGAACTTTGCACATTAGAGGACTAGGCAGAATTAAATGAACCACCTGGGCACGGTGGTGCATGCCTGTAATGCCAGCACTCGGGAGGCTGAGACAAGAGGATCACTTCAAGTTCAAGGCCACCCTTGACTACATAGTGAATTCAAAACCGGCCTGAACTGCATAGAAAGACCCTGTCTAAAAAAAGAAAAAAGAAATGAACAAACAAACATATGAAGACTGATAATACAGTAATGGTATGATAGAAAATAATTTATGAGTAGAAGGTAAGGGGTCTAATTAGATTGGGGGGTCAGAAGCTTCTTTGAGTACGTGTAAGGTAAGACCCAAAGGAGAGGGTCATCCAAGAGAATAAAATAGGAACTTCAAGAAGGAACAGGAAACCTGAGAGAACATGCCAGAAAGGCATCCATGTACCGTGTCTTGTATTAATTCTGGTGGTTAATCTGCATGTGTACTGAGCAAAAGAAATTCTTACTTTATCGAGTGGGCTTAATCATCATGTATCCCCCATAGATGTAAGTTGAAGTAATGATTTTAGGAAAACCCTGTTACCTTTGGAAAGCAACAGCAGAGAACCCTTTTTAGGACCTACATCAAAAGGACTACACTGAAATTATAATCTCAAGAGATTAAATTATTTAGGGTAGTAGGTTGTGGGAGAAGAGAAGTGAATGAAAGATGTTCCAGGGGCTGGGGGTGTTGTCTGTGGTACAGTGCATGCTTAGTATGTGTGAGTCCCTGGGTTCGATCTCTAGCACCTCAACACACACACACACACACACACACACACATACACACACACAAGACGTTCTAGACAGACACAAGCTGTACTTCCTGCTCAGAGCATTTTACTTTCTTTGCTTTTTTTTTCTTTTTTTTTTTTTTGTTGAGACAGGTCTCACTATGTAGTTCAGGCTGGCCTTGAGCTCACTTTGTAGCCCAGGCTGGTCTCAAAGTCACAATGATCTGAGCCTGCCTCAGCCTTCCGAGTGCTGGGATTATAGGCGTGTACCACCATGCTGAACAGAGCATTTTACTTTCTTTGCTTTTTTTTTCTTTTTTTTTTTTTTGTTGAGACAGGTCTCACTATGTAGTTCAGGCTGGCCTTGAGCTCACTTTGTAGCCCAGGCTGGTCTGGAACTCACAACGATCCTCCTGCCTCAGCCTCCTGAGTACTGGGATTACAGGTGTGCTCCACCACACCCAGAAACATTCACACTCTTATTCCCAGCATTGGACCTTGAACCAATCACAAACTCTGTATTCACCCACCTCCAAAAAAACCCCAAGATTGCATGAGGCTTCAGTGAGACATCTAGACACAAACCAAAACAAAACTGAACATTTCAATCCTAAGGACTGGGCTACTGAAATGATAGCTCCAATGATTTTGTAACAAATTGTTAGATGTCACAGGTGCACTTGAAGCAGTTGCAAATTGTATGTTGCAAATAGAAATTCATTTCTGAAATGCACTGTCCTCTGCAGTGAGACCCAAAAGATGTTCAGTGGAGCCCAGCGAGCATCTCCTGGAAGATAGTGTTCACTCAATAAATGAGTATCAATCATGTGCTGGGCACTGAGCTAAGTGCTAAGGAGACTGGTGAAAGTCACAGTCTCTGCCTCTGGGGGTCTCATTTACCAGAAGAAACACTGCAGATAATAACTTTAGTACTGGCTGTTTCCTTACAGTTGGGAAAAATGGCACAAGGCAGAAAGAAGCCCAGAGTGTCACAGGATTGCATAACAAAGACCTACGGTAGCCTGGAAGATCTGGAAGGACTCCCATGAGGACACAAGTTAACTAACCCAGGGGAGGGGACAGCCAGGCAGAGGTAACCCACTGAGGACCAAAAATCTAGTGAAACCGAGCCAAAAATCAGCAGTCAGTATCCTATGTAAGCATCAAGAAGATTGTTCAGGTCAGGGATGTAGCTCAGCGGCACAAGCGCCTGCCTGGCAAGCACAAGGTCCTGAGTTCAACTCCCGGTACCAAAAAGAAAAAGATTGTTCAGCCTTGGATCAACAGTGGGCTGCCGGTTGTCCTTCCTCTAGAAGGCTTTATTAAACTGCTCATTCAAGAAACAGAAGCGGGGCTGGGAATATAGTTCAGTGGCACAGTGCCTGCCTGGCAAGCAAAAGGTCCTGAGTTCGATTTCCGGTACCCAAAAAAAAAAAAAAAAGCGTTAAAGAAATAGAAGGAACGTCAATATTGGCCACACTGCCAAGAATGACATATTTACTAGGAAGGGGAAGTCTTAGTAATGAGAATTAATAGCAGCTCCAGCTTAGACTGCAGATGGCTTGGATCTGTTTTACTCAAATGCCTGATATTATTTTTCTAAATGAAACTGTGAAATGTATCCCTTTAAAAATAATATAAAATGTGGGCAGTGCTAGTTTGTACTTCCAGTAGCACGAAAGCAAGGACAAACTTAGTGGTCTAAATGGACCACTAGAGGTCGCTTCTGCCCCTATAGCAAACGCAGGGAGCCCGCTCTGAGACCGTTCTCTGATCGCTCACGCAGGCCCCATGCAGGAATGGAACGTGTTTTTTAATATCTTGTAAAGCTATGTAGCAATACAAACTGGAACATTTGGAAGATGGAAGGAGCTCATCTGTCCTCCTGCTAGGTAATTAACTCCCTCCCCACCTACTCTCACGTCACCGTCTATGCCCCGACTCCCAGGCCCTTGTTCTTTTCGTTCCCCTTCAAAGGAATAACTGCCCCAGCCCCTGCCTAGGCCCAGCCCCTCCGGCTCGCCTAATGCCCCACCCAAAGTCCAAACGTGCTGTTTCTCCATTCTGGGGCGGGATTTTTCTTTTAGGGGGAGGGGGTCTCACTCTGTTACCCAGGCTGCCTCAAGTTCGGGGCTCCAGAGCTCCTCCTGCTCCAGCCTCCGGAGAAGCTGGGGACTGACTGCAGGTGTGTGACACAGAGCCCAGTATGGGCGGGGCGGGGGGCAGGGAGTGCATTTTAACCCTCGATTCCACTCCTCCGGCTACCTCCACGTTGCTCACTTGCTTTTGGAGCAGATGTCCTCAAGTCACCCCTGCAAATGTCTGCTGCTCCTCTGCAGCTCTCTCTGGAGCCCATACTCCGCTGGCTTCCCAATCAAGTTCGTTAAGCTCATACTGCTAAACCCAAGGCCCTTGCACCGTGCGCATCTCAAGTCTTCCTGCTTGATTTCCCAGCAAAGCTTGCACGGCTCACTCCTTCCTGAGCGCTTTCTTCCTATAAGGCCTGATGCTGGTTTTCCTCTGGCGCCTTGTCCTTGGAACGCCGCAGGATGCGGTGCGCGGCTGTCTCTCTGTCCACACTCACTGGCCTGTGAGCTCAGGCAGTGCCAGCGTTTTAAATATCCCCAGCGAGCTGAAAACGCTCTAATTTGTATCTCCAAACTGCAGAGTTCATATCTCATGCCTATTTTTATTTCCACTGGGATAACTAATAGGCATCTCAAATTTAACATACCCACTACAGGGCCGCTGGCTTCCCTTTAAGACTGCGCTCAAAGTCCTCCCCGGCTCAGTTACGGTAACTCCGTCCTTCTAGTGACTCCACATCCTGTACCACAGGGCTGTTATCAGTGCCTCCCTTTCTCTTACTCTGCGTATGTCAGCATCTGAGCGCTGCCTAGCAATTCCACTGCTGCGTCCTGGTCCAAGCCCCCATTATCAGTTATTGGATTCTTTTTTTTTTTTTTTTTGGTTTTGGTTTTTCTCTGGTACCGGGAACCGAACTCACGACCTTGCGCTTGCCAGGCAGGCGCTTTGCTGCTGAGCTAAATCCCCAGCCCCAGTTATTGGATTCTTACACTAATCTAACCATGGTCCTGTTTGCACTCTTGTCCCCCATACTCAAAGACTGATTGCCAGAGACTCAGTGTTGGTGTTACCACCAAATTCATTTGTTAAAACCTCATCCTTAACATGAAGGTGGAAGAGGTTATAAGGGTGGGGTCCCATGAGTGCGATCAGTGCCCTTTTACCCTTTTTTGTTTGTTTTTCTGAGAGAGGATCTCTGTGTAGTTCAGGATGACCTTGAACTCACTATATAGTACAGGCTGGCCTCACACAGCGATCCTCTTGTTACCTCCTGGGTGCCTGGTGTGCCCCGCCACGCCCAGCTTCAGTGCCCTTCTAAGAGATCACAGAGAGTTCTCTCACCTCTGTTCTTTTACATGAGGACACAGAGAGAAGATGCCATCTGTGAACCAGGAAGCAGACCCACTCCAGACACAAAACCCACAGG